ACATTCCCTCCTTTCAATAGGTTCTCACCTCGTTCCACACCTCAGCTCGCATGCAGCCATCTCCAGGAAGTCTCCTCAGGCTGGGCCGTAAGATGAGCTTCCTTGCTCTTCCCCTTGAGTCTGATTAGCCTTTAATAATGACCTTCTACTATACTTTAGTCTTCCCTCTCACCCTGCCCACTTTGGTGAAGTGACATTCTCAGTGCCAGATATGCGTCCGTCACATCTGGACCCCCACCCCCAGCATTCCAGATCACACTGCCGAGGGTCCCCCACTTCAGAAGCTACCCGATCCCGGCTCCAAGGAGTGAGTTGAGGATGTCACTCAGATTGGAAGTAGCATTTGCAATTCAATGTGAGCTCTTCAGAAAATAGCGCCTATTAGGCAAGGATTTTGTGAATCATTAACAGCAGGACGGCAGATTCATTTAAATAACATTTCTTTTATAAAATTCAAAGGTTATTTTAGTCCAAACATGTATAGCCCCCATGAGTGAACCTTTGATGGTTGCTATGACCTCAACTGACTGGTAAGAAACCCTTGCTACCCCACAGGTGGCCCAGAAACCAAGAGCAGGTTTGTTTGGCTTGGCACTTGTTAGAAATGCAGATTCTCAGGAAGCTCTCAGACCACCCTTGGAAATCCAGATCTGCATGATGAGCATCACGATCCAGGGGTAGAGGCTCTGGTTTTAATGTTTAGGTGGACATGTATCAAATCCATGTCCAAATGCAATTTGTCTACATATTTACTAAGCAAACATTATCAAAATCCTGTCCAGTTTAATTGGTAGAATTTAGCATGAAGAAGTTAACTGTAAGCCAGGCACAGTGGCACACACCTGTAATCCCAACAGTTTAGGAGGCCAAGGCAGGAGGATTTGGAGCTCAAAGCAAGCCTCAGCAACTTGGTGAGGCCCTAAGCAACACAGTGAGACTCTGTCTCTAAATAAAATACAAAAAAGGGCTGGGGATGTGGCTCAGTGGTAGTGCTTATGAGTTCAATCCCTGGTACCCCTCCCCCAAAAAAGTTAACTGCACATACTTAAACCCCAAAATTAAAATGAACTAAAATACCATCTCAAATACTTGTCTTACATTTTTCCCTCAGATTTTCAAAAAAGCAGCCTAGCAAAAGCAGTAAAGAGTAGGGAGCACCAACTATGTGGTTGTTCCTGAAATTTCTCCTCTCCTACAAGAAATGAGAAAGGCTAAATATCAACATGACAGGGTTGGAATGGAGAGGCGGAATCCCAGGTGGGGCTCTTGAGCTCCAAATTGTTTGATTTTCGCCTACGAGGAGCAGCAGAGTTCCTCTCTCACCTCTGAGACCCAGAAGACCCCCGAGAAGGGTAGAAATATGGTCTCCCCGCCAGGCTGACACCCTTAATTATGGCTTTTGAGCTTTTGATGTTCTGACACATAAATAGCTAAAAATTCGCTTTTTCATTTTGTGCACTTGCAAGTTGGAAATGTCATCAAGTTTCATCAAGATTGAAATGGGGTCCAATTTGCTAAAAACGCCTCATGCATAAGGAAGTCTTGTGCTCTCTTCCACATGGGAGTCAGCCGGCTCAGTGCATTATGCACCCCGTGCTGGAAGGATCTCGACCTGCCACTCAAACCCTGAAACAAGGGAGCTGTGGGGCTTCAGGGTCTTGGCACTTCTAGAGGGTGGGGGCCAGCACTCAGAGACTCAGTGCCTCAATCCACCACTCTCTGTCCCTGCTAGGAAAGAAAGTACGGTGTGCAAATGCACCTACAGCTTCTCCCTGGTCCGTATTTGGGAATTACAGTGGGCTCCTCTGCAGTGCTGTGCCCCCAACACAAAGAATGACAAATGAAGAGAAAAACATAATTGCCATTTTGTGTCCCTTTTGCTTTTAGTGAAGTAAGAAAGCAACAACTTCTTTCCTTGATGATAGGAAAGCAAAGTGAACGAGTCAGTGGAAGTCTCCCTGGGTAAGATCTCACCCTATCTTTTTTAATTGGGGTCATATTTCCCTTGATTCTGTCTGGAAACTGGGAAGAAAAAAAATATCTCCCCAAAATAAGACTCGATGCCTAATAACAATCCTTACAGGGGCTGGAGTTACTTTCCAGGTGCACCCATTTTTGTTTATCTGCTTTCCCGATGGTGATCGTCTTCCTCTATGGCTCCTCCCGATAGCCATGTAATTACTAATTCAGTCACTGACTGATTCAGGTTACCCAGAACCTACACGGGAAGGGGCTTTTCTGTCCAGAAGTCCATACTTCGAGGCAGGGGCGTAACCATGTTAGAAGATTCTCCAGTAGAAGCTCAAAGATGGGAAACAAAAGCCAGGAAATGAGTGAGTGCCAAGCTTTCCCACTACCCTCAGACAAAAGCTCACTCCAGGTCTCAGCCCCACTTGAAGGAACCACCACAAAGAAAAATTTCTGTGAAATCTCTTGTCTCAAAAAATGTAAAACGAGCCGGGTACCCTGGCACATGCCTGTAACCCCAGTGGCTTGGGAGGGTAAGGAAGCAGGATTGCAAGTACAAAGCCAGCCTCAGCAAGGAGGTCTGAAGCAACTTGGCGAGACTCTGTCTCTAAATAAAATATAAAAAAGGCTGGGGATTTGGCTTAGTGATTAAGTGCCCCTAGGTTCAATACCTGGTCCCCCTCAAAAAAAACAAAATGTATAATGGTTTTGAATTTTAATTCTGCATCTGTTTTAAAGATTTCTAAAAATATTTCTAAGCGTCTTGCCGTGTTCTAGCACTGACGTTCAAAGGTTCCAAGGACATCCTGACCACTTCTCTAGGTGGGTGCTCTGCCCCTACCCTAGGTTGAGAATTCAGGGTCAGGAGATCCTAAGAGTTTTTAACTGTACTGGTACCAAGTGCTCTCACTCCTACCAGCACCGTCAAAATATGAATGGCCAACACTAACTGCCTTCATTAGGTGCCACAGGCTGTACGCATTGCCCCACATCAGGGTTGACACACCCTCAGGAAGGAGCTGGGAGGTCCCTCTGATAGACCTGGAAACCAAGGTGAAGAGCAGCTGCATGACACAGATATGTATCACAGCCCAGAACAGGCTTTTACAAATTGCTCCCATCACAGATTGCCTCTCTGTACTTGTTTCTCACAAATAAAAAAATCCTGTGAGGGCATCACTGACTCTCATGTCCATAAGGGGAAACTGAGAGTTCCAGCTTCACACCGTGCAATCAATAAGCGACAGAACAATCTACATGGATCTTCTGACCAATACCACTGAATTTCCCGCTCTGCCACAAACACTGAGGTCATTTCCAAGTCTGTGTTTCTAGACATCTATGATGGAAAAAAAGGCTTATATGAATCAATAGAACACGATGAAACTTGGAGTCTTTATTTTCATGCAAATAGTCTCAGGATGAAGGGCAAGACATAAAGATTCAATGACCTTAATTGTAAAAGAATTAAAAATTCCATTAGTAACTATCACAATTTAATAATGCTCATTTTTTTTTTGCAAGAACGGGTGATAGTTACAGGAAATTATAGCAACCTCTTAATTTCTACAATGATTTCTTCAAGTGCATTTTCCTAAAGATTAGATGCCTTTTTTAGCTGCCATTAACAAAGAGGTTGAATATCTTTGCCAGTAAGAAAGTCCCCACGTTCAAAGCTGGCTAAATTGGGAGTGGGCTACCTTGTACAGTATTGAGTCCCTTGCTCTCAGGGGAACTCAACGAGAAACTCTGTGACAACTTGCGAGGACATACCAGAAGAGACTGACAATCTTTTAGGGCAAAAGAGAATCTCATTAAAGCCATGGACCTCCTGCCCCGCCCCCCGCCCAGAAATGTATATAGATATAACAATTCTGAATACATTGTGGCAAGAATTTCACTCTGTCATGTCTAAGGGGCTTGGTCTAAATCCCAGGCACCCAGGTGTACATGACACTATGTGACCAGGAGGAATTTCCATAGCCTTTGTTCCTTCTCCCTCCTTCAAACTCACTTCCACACAGACACGGAAACAGTCTGGCAGGCATGGCGGTTTACTTTGCTTTAATTTTTAATTTGTTAAATCAAGGGATTTCACATAAACATTCGGATTCTGGCTTCTGTTGGAAAACATCAGCGCCTGGGGTGACAGTGGGCCTGCATTCCAGCAGGGTTCCCTCAGCAGAAGGGGAGTGCTGGCCCCTCCTGAGAGGGTCCACCCCACTCTCCAGCACCACCCAGACTGCTTCACTCAAGATCTTCCCAGTCACTCTATGTTTGTATTTATTTATTTATTCTAATGAGGTCTATATGGCAGCAGAATAAATTTTGATTCACTGAACACAGTTGCACCACAACTTTTCATTTCTCTGGTTGTATACATGTAAAATTGTACCATATTTACAGTCATACATGTACCTAGAGTAATGATGCCTATCTCATTCCACCCCCATGCCACTTCCTCACCTTTCTCCTCCCTCCCCTTTGCCCAATCACAGTTGTTCCATTTTTCCCATGCCCCCCCCCCATTATGGATCAGCATCCGCTTATCAGAAAGAACATTTGGCCTTTGGTTTGGCTTACTTAGAATGATATTCTCTAGCTCCACCCATTTACCTGCCAATGCCATGATTTTATTCTCTTTTAAGGCTGAATAATATTCCATTGGCTATATATACCACAGTTTCTTTCACTTAAAAAAAACCCCCAATCAATAAATGGGCAAAGAAGCTGAACAGACACTTCTCAGAAGAAGATATACAATTGATCAACAAATATATGAAAAAATGTTCAACATCTCTAGTAATTAGAGAAATGCAAATCAAAACTACCTTAAGATTCCATCTCATGCCAGTCATATTGGCAGTTATCAAGAATAAAAACAACAATCAGTGTTGGTGAGGATGTGAGGGAAAAGGCACACTCATTCATTGCTGGTGGGACTGCAAATTAGTGCAGCCAGTCTGGAAAGGAGTATGGAGATTTCTTGGAAAATTGGGAATGGAACCAACATTTGACCCAGCTATCCCACTCCTAGGTCTACACCCAAAGGACTTAAAAACATCATGCTATAGTGACACAGCCATATCAATGTTCATAGCAGCTCAATTCACAATAGCTACACTGTAGAACCAACCTAGCTGCCCTTCAATAGTCGCTCTAGGTTTGAGGCTGCCATCCCTGAAATAGACACTGGGTTTCAACAGAGCCATTTCTTAAGTGGTCATCGAAGGCACTGGTGGGTTTTCCTTCAACTACAATGTTCTCCTCAATGGAGACACACACAGAAAGTGCATGGGAAGTGACGAGGGGAAGGCTTGGGTCAGGTCACAGAACAGAGCACAGCAATGGTGCCTTTTGCAACGTGAGCCCAAGAAGCAGCCAAACACACTGATAATGTCACTCTGCCCATTCTCTCCTATGGCTCCAGAAGGAAACAGGGTCAGCATGTGTGTAGAAGATCCAGGATGCACCTTCTTGTGAATCAGAGCTGGTTCTCCAAGGCATGGGCTGGAGCTTCAACCTAGGGCTATTTGTACAGAAAAAGAGACAGATTCTCCCTTTCACTTCCCAGTTCACCTTGCAGAACATATCCCCCCCACAGCCCTGGTCATTCAAGGCAGAAGGACTAGACAGGGGAAGGGGCCTGAGATGAAGACACAGATGTACTTCCAGGGTCCCTCCATTCAGCTACAAATTGGGATTCTAAGAAAGTCCCAGAAGTGCCTATAAAAGTGATCACTTGGTAGAGCCTGAGCTTCTGCAGGGCACACCCTAACAACTAGATGGTTTCGGAGGCCAGCAGCAAGCGTGTTTATGTCTGCTAACAAACCTAGCTCTGGTGCTTTTGGGTGGCTTCGCAGCACTTCATCCATGTGGCAGTTTGTAGGTGGTTATTGGAAAAATGTGTTTTTATTGCTAAGAATAGAAAAAAGAATTAAAGGGTGTAATTGCTGATTCTAGAAATAGAAATTTTCCACCTTATAAACATAATTCCAATAAGACAAAATGGAATCAGTGAGCATCCCATATTGGCAAGTTCTTCACCTCAATTTTGACGTCATGTCACATATTAGCTCTGAAGAAAAAAATTGAGTGGAAAACATAAGGCAATACTGGAACTGCATCAAAAACAGGAAGATCGATGGCAATGAAGAGCTGGGTGCTGGTGTTGGGACCCGCCCTGATGTTGGAACCTGCTTTGCAAAGCCCCCTGGTAACCCGAGCACAGGCAGCCCTCCCCTGTTCACAGTCTGTCTACGTTCACAGGAAAAAAAACGTGACTAAGTCATGCCTTGGGAGCCTGGTTTTGCTATTAATTGATTCTGCAGATTCATTCCCTCCACAGACCCCTCTTCTGTTCTATTTCCCTGTGGTCAAATGAGGAATGCCATCCTTGCAGGGACAGAATAACACAATCATGGATACACAAGTGCTAGCAAATGCCACCCTTCCCTCCCCAGGTCTATTTTTGGTATGTTAGCAAGTGGTGTCAATGATGTCTATTATCTCACAAAACACAGCTCACAAGCAGGGAAGCTATATTTTCTTTTCTTTTTTTTCTTCCCCTCAAAGATAAAAAAATATCAAAAGATACAATATTTTATCATATAATTGATGCAATTAAGACAGCCTCATTGAGCATGAATGTAAACTTGAATATAAACATCAAGGAAAACGATCAACAAAATACTGACTCCTCCTCTAATGCAGTTCCTTTAAGTTTTTGTTTCTATTAAAGAATCCCTCTAATATTTTCCTAGGTAAAAATGATCAATACGCAATTTTCAAAATAAGCGATTGTAAATATTTAAATATTCGCTTGCTCCTTCCCCCCTGCCATTTGTTATTGTAACACTTATAGCTTTAAATATTAGCCCCGTCCTATTTATAATGACACCGGATTGCACCACTCATTTATCTACTTAAGAAAGGCAATTTGGAGGAGGGCTAGCTACCGTGGTGGCAATTTGTCATTAACAGCAGTTCTAATTAAATAGCCTCATCTACACATTATGGCACCATCTTGTACATTTTCCCTGAGACTCGATATCTTCTAAACCATAATAATACACCCGATCAAAAATTCAGCTGCTTATGAAAGTGAGAAAATAGTGATTTACATGTTACACTTTAAAAGCTTCATCAAAGCTGTAATAATTTTGTTGGATAAACAATGTGATTCTTGAGATTAATAAGAATTTCTAAATATGAACAATATGTACCCTGAGGAGAATATTATCTAAGGAGGAACTGATAAATTATGTTGGGCAAATAATCTGCATACTGAAACGTGCGTAATGGAGACAGGAAATTAAATATTGAAATGGGTAAATAACACGCAGTTTGGTGGGTGGGTTTCTCCCCCACCCACCCCACCCCTTGGTTGGGTTAAATCCCAGTGTCAAAATCGTGGATGACCAGGGCAAACCCTTATCCTTCACACAAGAGAATAGGAGAAAACGGATGCGTCTCAGGTCCAGGTTGACGCTGGGCAGACAGGAAGTCCTTTGATGAATTTCTCTGCTGGGAAGAGATACTTGTGAAAGAGTGAAGGGAATACCTATGGGTTTTTTTTCCCCCTTTACTTCCTACAGGCACATTTGGGACTTCTTATTTCTCAGGGGTAGAATCACCTTTGAAAACTGGAATCAAAGGGAACTGGTTCGAAAGACAAGGGAAAGTGTCAATTAACAGAAATGCATATGTCAGAGCTGGCCACCCGGGTGTGGCTGAGAATGTCCCTGTCCCATAGGCTGTCGGGGTGGGTGAGGACTCCCCTCCCCAACGGAGCAGGGGGCGAGTCCCAGCAGGCGCTGTCTTCTCCTTCGGGACTGGGACTTGCGGGAGGAAAAGGCAGAGCAGCCCCCATGGTTCTCTACAGAGGGCTTTGCCCACTAGGAGGGGACACTAGGAGCTGGGGGACATGGAAAGCTTTCCCAGGGGTTAGGTTGGGAAGCAGCCTTCAGGGTTCTCAAGCAGAGGGAACAGCTCGGGCGGAGCATGGGGCAGGGCGGCAGGAGGTGGGAAGGTGGGGGACAGGACGGCTGGCAGAGGAATGGACAGCGCAGTGTGACGCCAGCATGTCACTGTCACTGCCTGAGGGCTGCTCTCCAGAACCAGTAAAGAACAGGACGGGCCGCTGGAGAGCGGGTAGGAGTCCTGGACGGCCAATTCCCAGACCACGAAAACCCTTACCACGAGGTTTGGCTTTGGCGGGAGCCCGAGGCCTCGAGCGTGACGAGGTGGTGGAGTGGCCAGTGCTTCCACGCGCTGCCCTCGGAGAACAAAGGGTGGAAGGGACCCCTGAGGAGACTCCTCGACACTCGGTGACATGTAAGATGCCAACAGCCTCTGACCCGCCAGCTCCTCCCCCACAGGACCCTACGAACCTCTCAGACCCAAGCGTCGACATACCTGAGGGAGAGGCAGAGGGGCGGAGGCAGCCAGGGCAAGATGGCAGCCAGGAGGTCGGCGCTCGGAGAAAGACTTCCGGTGAGCTCAACTTCCTGCTTGACACACGAGGGGGACCCAGTCAGACGGACACTTCCTGCTCCTGCCCGGAAGTAGAGGGGCCCAAGAGAAAAAGTGAGACGGACGCGTGGGTTCAGTGGGCACCCGTGAACAAGAGTGAGGGGAGCGTGGACCGGGAGATGAGGGGAGGAGCAAGTCCCGAGACCATAAGGAACAAGCCACAGCACCCGCCAGACTCCCAGCTCTGGGCCCCTCTCTTCAGAGAAGTCCGTCTCTGTGTCTCTGGCCTTTGCAGTAAACCTGCTGCTTCCGGTCTCTGCGCCCTGTTCCTCGATTCTTTGCTGACCTGAAACAAGAACCCA